TGACATTTTGGAAAATATGAAACTATATAGTCAGTACAAAAGATCAGTGGTTGCCAGGGATTCTAGAGAGAGGGGCAAGGGCTAAACAGGGTGAAACACTGGTAACTTTTAGAACATTAAAAATATTATATATGATACTATAATCATGGATGTATGACAAGATGTATTTGTCAAAACCCATAGAATTTTAAAGTATAAGAAGAATATTATTTTGTGCAAATAAAAAAAACAAACACATTTGGAGTTTGGGGGATCCAAGGAAAAAATGCAAACCGTGATAAGAGAATCCAGTTATAATAAAAATATATGGGGGGAAAAAACCTCATTGAAGGAATGGGGGGAAAGGTGATGACCTAAGCAGTTTGAAATGAGTGGAGTCTCTAAGAACAAAGCAAAAGGAAGTGTCCATAACACTGTACACTAGTTTAGTGGTCACCAACCGGTGGTCTGGGGACCACTGGTGGCCTGTGAGGTCCAAAAGTTTGGGGACCACTACTCTAGTTGACAAAGTTGGTTCCCATAGGAGTATGAGTAATTAACAACTCTGACACTAGCATACACAAGTACTGGAACTGAACAATTAAGTAAATGGATGAAAGGCAGTGGAAGCCAAGTTTCCACGGTTGGATTGAGAATTTACATATGCACAAAGGGAGAAGGCTGGAATAATCCATGTGGTAATGGAGGAGAGTTACAGAAATCAGTAAGAAATTATGTTTAGTTTAATGTAGATACAGATGGTTACATATAGAACTGTTTATAGATATGCATAGACACACAGGTTAGTAATTCACATATACTCCCTTGCTTTGTCTGGTTAGAGGGCATAAAAAATGTCATCCCAACAATAATAAGCATACCTACCACACAGATCTTAGTTTCTAATACCATTCTCCATATGATCCCCATCAATGGGGGTATGTCAAAGCGGTACAGGAGCCTAACGAAAGAGTTCTCAATGGCCAAAACTAGAACAATTTGAGCAGCAAAATAAAGTAGTATTGCATTATAATCCAGAGTATACAATAAAAAATATCCATGTGTTTATACTGATATAAATGAATGACTGAACAAATGGGAGAGAAGAGACAAATCTCCCATGGAGAAAAACTCCAAATAACTTACGTAGAAACGTCACACCTAAGTATGGAAAGCAGAATCCCCCACTTGTTAAGCATGGGAGGCTCACAGGAACTTCCTTCCGAAGAAGACAATATGGAAAAGTAGGGAGTAACTTTACAGTGGAAGGTCTAACCAATACTACTTCAGCCAGGTGATCAAGGATAATACAACAGTGTAAGTCATTAACAGTACATACCCTTGATATGATGAGATGAGCACTTAACCTTGTGATTTTACTGCCTCAACCCATAACCCCAGTCCAATCATGAGAAAAACATGAGACAAAATCCAACAGAGGGGCATTCTACAATCGACCTGACCAGTACTCCTCAAATTGTCAAGGTCATGAAAACAAGGGAAAGCTGAGGAACTGTGTCAACCTAAGAAGACATGAACACTAAATGTAATGTGATATCCTGCACGAGATCCAAGAAAAGAAAAAAAAAAAAACAACTAAAAAAAACAAACCTGAATAAACTATGGACTTTATCCATCTTGATGGATTTATTGTAACAAATGTACCAAAATAATGCCAGATGTTTCTACGAGGAGGAATTGGGTGTGAAGTGTATAGGAACTCTCTGCACTCCCTTCTCAATTTTTCTGTAGATCTAAAAACTACTCTACAAAATAAAGTCTACCTGTAAAATGGTCACCCTATTCAAAATGATGAACTGCCACTATTAGGGGGTTTCTTCTTTCTAAATATGAGGTTGGGAGAATAAATGCGGTGACAACTATAAATGACAAAATCTAGCTATATCAGACAGTAAATTAGTTACTCTACAGATTACTGATGTCACTACTAACAGTAATAGTTAAGAATGATTAACAAAATATTTCAGGTGCTGAAGGCCTTTTGACACTTTCTAAGGTGGGAATTTGAATGGGAAAAGAGAGCTCATCTTTATTTTCACTGCCTTACCTGGCCTTCAGCATATCCCTTCAGTATATCTAATCAGCAAACCAAGGCATCATTAGCAATATCTATGACTGAAAGGGCGAGGGCTACGCCCTCCATCTTGCCCCGAATCCTCCATTTTTGGGCAGCAGCCATGTGCTCATCAAGAAGCTTCTTCCCAGAAGTATAATCAAGGGAAGTGCGGGCCATAGATACAACCACATCCTGTGTAACAACACACCGACTTGCGCCTGGCCAATCGGCAGGGCCACAGACCTCTCTCCTCCCCTTACTATAAAACCCCTCTACCCACAGGGCTGGCTCTCCCTGCCACTTGCTGCTGCATCAGTAAGGAGGGTAGGGGAGCCAAGCCCGGGTTTGAATAAAAGACTCTTATGCTTTTGCATCGGACACAGCTGGCTCCCTGGTGTGGTCTCATGGGGAATCTTGAAATCTGGGCATAACAATGAAAAATAATCACAGATATTTGTATAGTCCATTCCAGTGTTAGGTAATTACTAAGTATTGTTTATTCTCAGCAATATTCATAGGTTCCAAGAGTTAATAGGCCCACTACTAAATTTTGATATATACTGCATTCATTTAGAAGCACCTCTAGTGCTCTATCATAACTTTTATTAACATTTTGACAACTATAACTCAATGTTTTTTTTCTTTGTAATATTATATATGTTATTAAATTTAAAAATATTATTCTGGCGCCGAAACCGGTTTGGCTCAGTGGATAGAGCGTCGGCCTGCGGACTGAAGAGTCCCAGGTTCGACTCCGGTCAAGGGCATGTACCTGAGTTGCGGGCACATCCCCAGTGGGAGATGTGCAGGAGGCAGCTGGTCGATGTTTCTCTCATCATCAATGTTTCTAGCTCTCTATCTCTCTCTCTTCCTCTCTGTAAAAAAAACCAATAAAATATATTTAAAAAATAAAAATATTATTCTGGGAAGGGCTGAATGGACTTCACAAAATTGCCAGTGGGGCCCATGATATAGAAAAAGATAAAGAACTCGACTAAACAAGCCAAAAAAAGTTCAGTGAAGCCACCAGACTTTCATGCGTCCAACCCTGAGAGAGATAGAGCCTGATGTTTTCCAGCCTTCATCTCCCCAAGTATCTAATAACTTTGCTACAATTTTCATATTTATAGTTCTAATATTGTTTTTAAAATCCAGTGTTTACAATGTTAACTATGAGTTTTGCACAAGAGATTCCCTGCCAATACCCAAAGTCATAAACCTAATAATCTATACAATGTCTGCTTACAACAAACAAGACTCAACAAAAGAAGAAAAAAGCCTGGAAGAACCACAAAACCCAGAACCTAATTCTCAGTGACAGTCTCGCCTTTCATCTGAAGCCTGGCCTTGAACTCCACCTTGTTTAATTATTAACCAGGAGCTGCTCAGCAAGGGCTGTCTAGTCTTGATGATTCCTAAATGCGATCCTGCTGACAGACTCTGTCCATTTTCCTCTATATTTATTATTATCTAATGACAAGGTCTGAATGCTCATTTTGAAATTCAACTTTCATTAAAAATAGTTTTTCTGACAGTGACCTCTTGGCTCCAAAGTGTCACTTTTCTTTACATCCCAACTTCATAAAAATTAAAAATGCCACTGTGAAAGGCATCACTCTCTTCCTATTGTTTAATAAATAATATATAACAATGCAGTAAGCATTTTAAGCAATCACATGTTCCACAGATTTCAACTCTAATATTACTTAATATATTTAACTCACATTTGTTGAAAATTTAGGATGTTGAGATGACAAATACATATTTCCGATATAAATTTGGTTTTTGTTCAATACTTTGAATATCATCATTATGCTGATTATTCAGCAAATAAATTCTTGATATCTTTCCCCAATAGACCTGCTCTACCTTCAGCGTTGTCCAACTCACCGACCTGCATCACCATTTGCCAGTCCTCACCTCCAGATGGGCACCCAGGTCCAAGCCACCACCTCCCTTGCCTGGACATCTATGGTAGCGTCCTAATTGGTCTCCCTGTCCCACTGTGGACCCTGCTTCCCACTTTTGAACCCTGTAAGCCAGACCCTAGAGCTGATCTCAGGGTCTCTGAGAGATGCCTGGGAAATTGACTCTTGATCAGATTCCACAGCTTTCAGCTCAAGGGCATACTTGGACCAACCTAGCTGGGCTGATGGGCTGTGGTACATGAGGGCTGGGTTCATGCCTAGGACACAGGTTCTGCCATCCCACAGGTGGTGTCATGTGTTAGGAACAAGGTTGATGAGGCACACTTGCCTTGGATGTGATGTGCCCTGGTCTGTGTGCCATGAGCCTACCTGTTCCAGGCTTGTGTGCCTCAGGAAGTCAGCTGGGCTTCTAAAAGGCTGGTGAAACTCCCTTTCTCCCTCAGACTGCTCCCCTGCCACTAGGTGCTCTGTGAGGAGGCTCTTCGGGGACCCTGCGTCCTCCCTGACCTCTCTGCTGTCTGCGTGACCTCCTTCTGTGTCCTCACAGGAAGGCAACTTGGGGGGTTTACCCATGTGATAACTGTGTCTAGTCCTTCAGTCAAGATGAAGCTACTGAGATCGGTCTTAAAGTGGTCACTCTACTCCTATCTCCCCATTTTCTTTCCTTCACACTAGTATTAAATATTTTTAGAAAAACAAGTCTTCAGTTTAAAAAGAATAAAATAAACAAATGAAAGAAAAAAATTATCTCTAGGCAGAAAGTCAGCAAAAAAAACAAGAAGACAAATTTGTAAAGGTTTTTGGGAGGTAAGCAAAGGGGGCCTCAAAGAATCCAGAGTGAAATCCACAGCCACTTCAAGAGACTGTCCAGGTCACATGTCAGCCTGTGTCTATGGAAAGTGGAGGGATTTCTCCTGATCTGTATCTCACTTACTCCCAGCACACATCAGGGAAGCAGGGCACATGCAGGAGAGAGAGGAGTGTCTAACAACGGCAGGAAGAGGAAAAGGACTTGCCGTGGCCTGGGTCTGCGCCGTGTACTCGCCCTCCATCCTGCGCAGCCTGGCGTTGGTGTCCTCCAGCAGCTCCTGGATGCTCTCCGTGTGCCGCTTCTGAAGGTCGAACTTCTCCCTCTCCATCTCCGCCACCGCGTTGTGCAGCTGCAGCGGAGACAAAACCGGGCTCTCTCGTCACTGCTGCCGAGCAGACTAGTTTGCAATTCAGAAGACATGTTTCCTATGTGTCTCTACTTATATGTTGTCTCAAACAATAAAAGGTATGAAAGTCATAAATGTCCAAGTAAAGTAACCTATAAAGAGCATGATTAAGAAATTATTATTTTCTTTACTTTCCTAAATTGGAGATTTTAATGGATCAACAAATATTAAAGGAATTATCTACTTCTGGTAGCAAGAGTAAATAAATACAGAAATAATACACGGTCTCAGCTAAACAACACTAGGATTAGCCTGAATCACACAGAAATATTTACAATATTATTATTGATCAAGAATATTATGTCACTGTCTATAGTTTTATATTATCTGCATGAAATTTTGCACAAGAGTAATGTTAAAATCTTTATCCTTCACCCTACCCCCAACAGGACACTATTTTTATCCATTCCATAACCTACACAAAAGCAGACACAAAGATGACATTATAAATCAAATAGAGAAAGAACCTTTAAGAACTGTAGACCCTATGTCCTCATGTCTACAGGTCTTTCTTTACAAATACTATACTCTGTCTATGGAACTAATGGACAGCTTCCAAAGGGAATTAAAAGTCTGTGTTCATGGCCTGTGGGCACTCCTCCCTTATCTGAAGGGGAGTGGAATTCTGAGTGTAGCTCCCGTCCCCGGCATCCAACCCCAGGCTCACTTGGTTAAGTTTGAAAGGTGCATTTGATTTCCCATTTATGAGCAGGAGGCAGAACAAGGATATGGCAGATGCATGGAAGTTCCTGTTTGACTAGGAAGACGTTGAATGAACAGAGAAACCCTGAGAGATGATGGAAACCAGAAGCAGCATGCAGCCAATAATTATGCTAATTACTGGTAAGGGTCTCAAGAACGTTCCCTGGACTTTCTAGCTGAATAAGAAGAGGATGGCTCAGTAATAGCCACAGAAAAGACCCTTAGGTTTCACAAATTTAACACATGCAGTTCTGACTCTTTGTAAGTGGTCCCCCAATCCCTGCTATGTTGTATTTGTATATTTGCCAAAGTCTACATTTTAAACTGGTGTCAGTCACTTAGCCAGTCCATGAATGTAGCCAAACCCACAGCACCTAAATTTCAGTGCTGCTTCGTAGCTGTGGACTGATGGGCATGGGAACTCTGATAAAAGGCTTTGAATGAGTCACTTAGAACTTGGTGGTTATATTTATGTTGCAGAGGTTTCTTCATGTTTATGGTCTCTAAAAGGTCCTAGGACATATGCCTTCTGACTATCAAAAAATCCACTATTTTTAGTAGCCCATTAATACAGAGTGATTTTTTAGGTGTACCCCACAATGCTTAATAACGTGTACGTGCCTGTTGAAGTTGGCAGGGTGTCTCTAAGTCTTCAAAACAAACCCAGGGAATTTACACAGTTGAGACTGCAAGGGCAAAAATGACACTGGAAAATATAAGTATGCTATAACTTAGCTGATTCACTTAAGGATAAAACAGGTGTATCTGGTCTAATACTCTGACTTTCTGTATATTTTGTGAATATCCATTATTTTTATAATTAAATGTTACTTTGAATTTTCTATTACTATTTTATTTTATGTAGCTTACCTTTTTTTCCCAGTCATTATTCAGAAATTCTGTACTTTGCTCACATATCTTTTTCAGCTCTGAAATCTGGTTTTCTTTAGTCTCTCTGATAACTTGACAGTCACGTATAAGGGTCTGAACTGTCAAAAAAGATAAAACACAGTTAAACCAATTCTACCTACCACATAAGAGCTTGATGATAAAATACATATAGTGCACCAGTTAGATAATTCCATTTTTTACCAATCTTCTCAATTCTGTCTTGTTAAAGTATCTTACTTTTTCCTCTCTTTTTCTCCATTTGTGCCACCAGTCTTGGTTGAACCCATCATTACTCACCTAGATGGCTTTGACAGTGTGCTGGCCTCAGGTTCACTCCCTCCACTGGGCCCTACTCACTCCTAGTCTCAATTCCAGCATCACTTCTTTGTGAACCTTCCCCACCCAGACTCCTCATCTTGCAGGACAGAGGAAACTCCTCTGTGTGCCCAAGGAACTGCATCTATTTCTCCATTAAATCGCTTATTACATTATATGTTATAAAGGTTTCGTTGCCTATGTCCTGAGGAGAAAGATATTTCAACCTTTTATCTACAGAGCATAAGAGTGCTGTAGGTAAGTGCTCAAAAATAGGTGTCCTGACTAAGGAACCCATTGTCTCACTCCATGCCTGCTGCTAGGTGCTTTAAAATCATTGCCAAGGTTTGCGTTACTAAAATAAAATATGCTTTAATTATATAAAATATTCCTCTTATAAGTCACTTTTTAAAAATTTCTTTTAAATAAAATCTTTTAAAAATGATTTAAACTGTCACTGATTTAAGCAAAAATTTGCTTAATATATTATGTCATCTGGATGGTAAAATAAAGTCAGCTGTATGTTTGCTTAAATGTGGCATTTTCTTAGCTTACTGAATTATGTTTTTACTCACTTCAAGACAACAAAATTTAATTCTGTAAATATGTGTGGTGATGGATGTTAAACTGACTTATTGTGGTGATCATTTCACAATATATGCAGATATCAAGTCACTGTGTTGTATAGCTGAAGCTAATATTATGTATGTCAATTATTCCTCAAAAAAAGATAGCAACATTTTCAAAACATTTACGTGGAAATTTCTTTCACTCTTATATCTCAACTATGTAACAAATGAGGGGAGAAAGAGAAGAATTCAAATTAACCTAATATTAGTCCTTAGCACCTATAACATATTATTTCACAATTCCAAAATTAAACTAAGATCTATTTGCAATTCAAAAGCCTTAAAAAGTATTATCTTTAAACCGTTGGCATATATAAATTGCCTGGTTTAAATCAGGGTAAGGAACAAAAACCTAGAAATAAGTTTAAAATATTTTTGTAGTCATTGATATTTGAAGAAAGAACCTGAAATAATTTCTAAATAAAATTTAAGGCTGGGAATAAACCTAAAAATAACCTATTTCATTAAGTAATTTATATGTGTAAGTGCCATCTTAAATTTTAAGGGCGGCACTAGTCTCTCAGATATACTCAAGTCTGGTGATGGTTACAGAATGAGTAAGTTTCATATGGAAAGCCCTAAATGAAAACCTTCTCTCCTCTTATTCATCACCTGTATCTTATTCACCAAATTCTTCAAAATTTCTTCTTCAGTCCCTTTCTCAGTATTCCCACTTCCATCATTCATATATTCCGGGTCCTTATCACCTTATACACAAAATTACAGAAGCATGGAAGTATAAACTCTCGGAGGTGGAAAGAACTTCAAACATTATTTATTCCAACCTCGCCATTTATAATGAATAAGCCAAGGCCAGAGACTTCCCAATGCCATATTAGCAGACCCTGAATAGGAGCCTGGGATTGGAGCCTGGTTTCTAATAAATGAGATATTCATTCTCTCTTTCCTTCCTTCCTTCCTTCCTTCCTTCCTTCCTTCCTTCCTTCCTTCCTTCCTTCCTTCCTTCCTCCCTCCCTCCCTCCCTCCCTCCCTCCCTCCCTCCCTCCCTCCCTCCTATAATAGACTGGGAATTGGCCTCACCAGGTGGCATACCCACCTTTACAAGGCTGCTCCTACTGAAACTTGAGGTCCTAAAACTCACCTCTCAAAAATCTTCTCTGTCTCCACAGTATCTACAAGATAAACTTGAAACTTCTAAATCTGAAATTCAAGGTCATGCCTAAGTCATGCCAAGTCACCTACTTTATCTTTTTCAATCTATCTCTTAATGTGCAGGATACCCACTCTTGCTAAGTGGTTTTGCAGCATCCTTCCAAAACTTAGCAATACCAGCATTCCTACTGCAGCACGTGGAAACTTTTAAAGTTCTTTTCCACAAAAATGTTTTCAACATGGTCTCTAAGAGCTGCCTGTTGCACTTAGACGTTTTGACCTATAATCACAGTCAATTTAACACTTGATCACATGCTTTCTTTTCCTTCTTAATGAAAGAGTGAATGGGGAATACTTTTAAATGCTTGTTCTGTCAATCACAATACTAGCACATACTACCCGTCATCAATAAATACTTAATGCAATGAATGTCCTCAGACCAAGAGGAATGGTTTCCCTAGACCTCTTTGTGAAAGCCAGTAAATTCAAATCCTATGACTCACTTATGGCAGCCCAATAAGGAGGCAGAGTTAAGAAGGAGAAGTAGCAGTGACAGACTCTTCCAGTTCCTTAACCAAACAACTAACACACACACACACACACACACACACACGCAGGCAGGCAGGCACGCACGCACACACACACACACACACACACACTCACACACACACAGTTTTCCCTATTCATATGAGAGCTCTCATAAACACATCCACTGATGGAAGCCCACACAAACATTGCCATCTCACACTACAGAAGGTCAGAAGTAAAATTGTACTTTGTATAACCACTAAGATAAAACAGAAATATTAAGGTTTATGTAAGAATACTACATCACCTTTCTTTTCAAGTTTTCTAACAGTCTCCTCCGTTTCATTTTGTTTCGTTTTGTATAAAATTTTCAATTCGTCTATTTCACTGTTCTTTCGTTCTAAAATCTGCAAATGAATTTTAAATGTTTTAGTATGCTATGTTGTTTGACATACAGAACACATAATTTTTTAAATGAGCACAATATTTTTTGCAAGTCTATCTCAGCTAATCCTACAAAAGATGTAAAAATTATATTTCAGTGCATTGAGAAAGTAGTAAATATGCTAGAATTAATGATTACTGAAAGAGATATGCTATCTGCTTTGAAATTTCATGTATCAATCTTTAAGGAGACTATAAATAATAAACTAGGTGATTCTCTAAAATATAACTCAGAGATTAAACTGTCATAAAGTAGCAGGGAGAAGCCATCACAACGTGACACATGGGGACAGTGCAACCCCCCTCCCCACCGCACTGGAATAGGCACCTCCAGATGAGCACAGCCCTGAATCGTCCCACTGGTGTCTTATCAATTCCATGCACCATAAGACCCCTGATGGATGGGAAGATGAGAAGTAATAAGCTTCCTTTATATCTAGCTCTGCTATTGTGAATCAGAAAAATCATCCCAAAATATGTCAAAATTGCATGAATATTTTACATCATGAATTGATACTGTGTCAGAAGTTTTAAAATTTAACAAAATGTAATGATTGTTATATACTTCTAAATACATCAACACCAAAAAAAAAAGAAAAAAAAAACAAAAAAAAACCACACACACACAGAGAAATAATAAAATTGTAGGAACATTAGCAAGCTGGGATAAAAAAAAAAAAATGTGTGCTAACCAACTGGGGGAAAAAATTGAGGCAGGTGTATAATCAGCTAAAAAAAAAAAATACACAAAAAGTTTATTCACCAATGTCTAATCAACTTTTTCTTAGTGCTTTTATTACCAGCATTTCACTTTACCTTGCATTGTTTTAGTCCCAGCGGTAAGAATGGTTGGTAAATAAGAAAAGGAGCTATTTTAATCCTAACATCCGTAAAGAAGCAAAAAGGAAAAGAATATAGGCAAATAGATAAAACACTCTGAATTTTGTTCCTCCCCAATTCCAGACACGTAGGAAATGCCATTCAAGCAACAAACTGATGACTATACTTTCCAAATATGATATAAGGTCAAGGACTGTATATTTTACCTGCCATTTAAAACTAGTGGTTGGGTGGGGGGACAGGTGGGTGGGTGGACAGATAAGGATCACAAGACCTAGACTATTTCAAATATTCAATATTAATAAAAGAATAAATGGTATATACCCTACCTTCTGAACATCAGCATCATGTTTCTGTTGAAGTTTAAGCTTCTCTTCATGACATTTAGCTTCTATCATTTTGGTTTTCATGTCCAACTTCAAGGAAAATATTTTAAAGGTGTTAATAATTTGCTTTTCCCTTTGGCAAAAATACACAATTAAATTAAAATAACTCTGGATATAAAAGAGAATAGCATTTTTCCACTTTTACCCTATAGCTAAAGGTCTAGAAATCATATATATATATATCAATGTTGGTATTACTTCCAAGCTAATTAAAAATCTTTCAAATAAATTGTACCTGATGGGTAAGCTGACACTACTAAATATGGATTTATCAATTATCCGGTCTCCAAAAAAGTCATTTTAAAGTGTTATTTTGCTAGTATTTTCACGTTTATTATTTCCTATTTGAGGAAGTCTCTATTAACTGTTTTACTTTTTGCTTTTCTTATATTTATGTGCTCCTTTAAAAATACTTTTCACCAATGTGATAGTTTGAGACTGAACGTCCATAAATATGGCATATTACTGATAAATGCACTTCTCTCTCCTGAAGTCATAGACCCCGATGCCCTCCAGACAGTGACTTCATCTCCTTTCAAGCACTCATTAACTCCCAAACTGCTCAAACCAATACCTAATGCACAATGTTTGCAGCAAAGCCAGCGAAACTGTAACCAATACTTGTTGATAATAATACGTGTATCTTTGAATTGAAAGAATAGTAACTGGTTTTAAGAACAACATAAAATTGGTTTTCTCAACTATAAAAATATTGGACCACCTGATTCCTACTTTTTAAAACAATATGCACATTAAAGTCTGACAGACCTCATTTATAACTCTAGTTCTAACCCCATCCTATGTAATAAAAGCCCAGCAACCAAATGGCGAAACGATCAGAACGACCAGTCGACCAGTCGCTATGATGTGCACTGACCAACAGGGGGAAGATGCTCAATGCAGGAGCTGCCCCCTGATGGTCAGTGCGCTCCCACAGTCAGAGCCGCCATTCAGCTGACTGGGATGAGCGGCGCTCCCACATCGGGCCGATCCCTGCAGGTCACACTCCCCATCAGTGCACAAATTCCATGCACTGGGCATCTAGTTATGTATTAATTGCTGTCATATTGGGCAAGTCACTCTGTTGAAATTTTATTTTCTCTTCTGCTAATTAAGGATAGCTATCCTTATGAAATGTGAAACATTTAAGTAACTATACTGAGTACGATGTTTGGCGCAAAACCTTCACAAAAGTTTTCTTTTAAAATATTAGAAATATGCTAGCAAAATATTTTCTTTTTTTTTTTATTAAGGTATTACAAATGTGTCCTCATCCCCCCCATTAACCCCCAACTTCCCCCCACCCCCCGCACACTCATGCTCCCATCCCCCTGTTGTCCATGTCCATTGATTTGGCTTATATGCGTGTATACAAGTCCTTTGGTTGATCTCTTCCCCTTACCTCCTCCCTCCCCTACTTTCCTTATCGCCTGATCGCTGTTTCTCAGTCTTTGGATCTGTCCCTTTTCATCAGTCTATGTTGTTGAAAAATTTTTAAAATACACTTTATATTTTTAAATTACTGTTTCAAATATACAATGAATTTGAACTTACAGTAAACATGCATGATCACATCAATATACTAAAGTGAAATTTTAAAGTTTTACAAATAAAAATTAATATAAACAATTCATGGTTTTTAAATGTTATGAGTGGTAGAGTGGGAAACAGTCATCCATTTATGCTGCAAAAGGAAAACATTCTAAATCACAGGATGCTTCTTCCACATTTCAGCAGAAAGGGGTCTGGGTGGCCTAAGTCCATGTAAAGATTCTTAATAGAAGATTTCTGGGGACTACTAAAAAGGAATCAAACAAAACTGGGAAGATATAGGAGAATTTATTACCATATCTTTCCATAATACCTTAAAAATGTAACCTCAGACTCAGAGGGTCAGCTCTAAACACCATGTAACTGCTGCTATAACCCACCCACCACCTCCCACCTCAATCTTGGGTTACCAGATTAGGAATAAACACTTGGCACATCTATAATAATAAAAGCATAAAATGCTAATTAGACTGGACAGCCGAACGACCTTCTGGGGATGCAAGGGCCAAGCCCCTTGCACAAATTTCATGCATCGGGCCTCTAGTACTTAAGTAATCATTATAATCATTCAGAGAAAGAAGATGAAGGAAGATAGCAAGTTAGCTACTTTGAGGAACAAACCCAAACCCTTGTCACTACAGAGTAGCTCTATGTTTCTGCCTTGTTTCTAAAGTATGATTCATGATAAATCATCAGGACTAGAATATTGAAACAATCATAGTACAGCATTTAAGATAACACAAGATATAAGAAATAGATATAAATATATATGGACACATGTGTGTCTATATACACATACATATAAGGGTGGGGGCAAAAGTAGGCTTATACTTGTGAATATGCAAAAAAGAGGTTCTTCTTGTATATTGTTTATTAATTATTGTATTATTTTCCATATGAAAAACTCTAAACCTACTTTTGCCCCACCCTGTCTGATTATGTAAAAGACCATAAACAGCCTTGCTTAATTTAGTTTAACACAAAAGGCTGAAATTAAAAGGCTAACTATAACACTTCTAATTTGTTTAAGCTCCAAGTAACTGACCCCAGACAACATTTAAGTTTTCTTTAACTGAGCTCTGAACAGACACTATCAATTTCAGCTTAAGAAACATAGAGATCCACTGCAGGCTATAATGGAGTAACTAATAGTAAACTCACCTCCCTGTTAACAAACATGAAAAGGGCTAAAATAACTGAGGTGACCACTCCCAGGTGTTAGAAAACAGGCGGGTGCAACACTGTCATCCTCACAAGCTGAACCCAGTATCATCTGCCTCTCTGCATGGGAACCACTGAGTGCAATAGAGGCCTGCTGCCCTCCTGAACAAGAAGGCAAGGTCAGAGTTCAAGGCAGTTGAAGAAGCTGGAATCTTATATGAAGGGACTAGGGAAGTGGGAACTGCCCAGCAGGATGCCTGCCAGTCCTTAACATAGATGGGAATGTGTGTGCATTCGGTGGGGTACCGGGCGCATCATCTATGATAATAAAAACGTAATATGCTAATTAGATCAAACAGCCGAACGACCTTCCAGACAAAGTCAGGGCTGCAAGGGCCAAGGCATGCCGCCAAGGCTGAGAGCCGAGCCCCTTGCACAAATTTCATGCATCGGGCCTCTAGTCTATAATAATACAAGCATGATATGATAATTAGACCAGATGTCCTTCTGGACAAAGCTGGGGCTTCAAGGGAAGCCTGGGCCCCGGGCGCCTGCCCAGGTCCCAGGTGCCTGTCAGTGACTGGAGGGAAGCCAGCCCGGGTCCTGGGTGCCAGAGGAAAGCCAGTGCCAGCAGCCAGGAGAAGGAAGGCCTACTCTTACACAAATTTCATGCATAGGGCCTCTAGTTGGGTGAATAACAAAGCAAAGCTGCTACAACAGATGCCACAGAAGAAACAGCGCTGGGAGACACCAAAGGCCCAGCTAGCCAGAGTGGAGATGCCTCCTTAACAACCTGTGAATATCTGGGCATCCAGATGATGACCAATAATGAATACAGAATGCTTAAAAATCAATATACATTCACCACAACCTATTTAAGATAACTTTTCTATGGAAGAGAACAGATAAGTACAAAACCTATACTATTTGGGGATAGAGTACATTTAATACAGACAGTCACATGAAATGGCTGAAAACATCATAAGCAATAAATTACATATTTATACTCTTGAACTTTAAAATGATAACGTCTCTGGGGTCAATGTAAAAATTAGTTTACATATGAAGCCATTAGCACCACAAATTAAATTACCTATGAAATAAGTTAGCAGGAATATGAGTAAAAAACAAGTAAGTTTGGAATGGTAAGAGGAAATTGCGTGACCCACGCAGCAATAGAACCTTAACACAGAGTGAGACAGAGGTATAGATGGAAAGATAGGGAAAATGGTACTAGCCACTTAAAGGCAAACATTCTGAAGCAACTAGAGATGCTATTACAACAAGGACAAACTATATCATGAACCAGCCTCTCTAAACAACACAAGAAAGTCATGGTGGGAGTGCAGCAGTAGTAGTAGCAATAATACTACTAGGAACATTAGGAGAGGAGCAGTGATGGTATTAATAGCAACAAGTAGTAAGCAGTAGTCAACAGGAGTCAGTAGTAGTATAGTAAGTACTAGTGGTGGTAGTAGTAGTAACAGCACAGCAGCAGTTACTGGTGAAGCAGTAGCAGCATCAGTAGCAGCAGCAGCAGCAACGAAGAAAAAAACAACACAGAGGAAAACAACAAATACCGGACTGATTATGTACCACATACAAAGCTCTGTTTCCAGCAATTCACATACATTATTTCATGCAATAATCCTCACAACCTACAGAAGTGGGTCCTTTTACTCTCTCCATTTTACAGATAAGAAAACTGAAGTACAAAGAGGCACCTGCTCAAGGTCACATGGCCAGGAAGGTAGAGAGCATGGATCCATACTCAGGAGTCTGGGTCCAGCTAATAAATGAAAGCTAAATACTGCTGAGTAGTTTTTTAATACGACAGCTCACCTATTCAACCAGCTCAGTATGTAAATGGAACTCAAACCAAGAAAGGAAGATGCTCTCTAATAAGTCACCTCAGGGTTTTAATAAGCAATGCTTGTCTGGGATAGAAAACCTGGCACCACCGGGAGGGGAGAAGGGACAGGCAGGCGGTCCCAGCATCATTACATTATTCTAAACCACACACACTTGGGTTCCACTTTTATTCCCTAAAGACTTCTTTTAATTTTTTTAAATTAATTAAGGGCTCCTATCTTTTTTTGACCCATTAGGACTTTGCATTGTTTAAAGCCACATTTTACATCAGAAATATTTATTTGATAGATTTTTCATTTTCCCAATTAAGAGTTATGGTCAGAATTTGCTGTTTAAATATTTCAGCTTTCAACATAAAGTATCATTTTTTTCCCTTCTTATTTTTTTAAAATACAGTGGGGCCTTGACTTACGAGTGTCCCGACTAACGAGTTTTTCGAGATACGA